CATAGCAGGAGAGATTGGTCACTATTTAAAACGTAAGACGAGTGGCCGTATGGGATGGACTGCCCTCAAACTTGACATGGCCAAGGCCTATGACAGGATGGAGTGGGGATTCTTAGAAGGGATGTTGGTTGCCTTAGGATACACACATGAATGGGTACTAACTATTATGTCATGTGTCTTAACTGTTAACTATACAATTCAGGTTAATGGTGAGGCCATTGGCACGGTGTGCCCCACACGGGGTATTCGGCAAGGCGATCTGTTGTCCCCGTACCTATTCATTCTTTGTGCCGAGGGCTTATCTGTTCTGCTACAACAAGCCGGGGCTTGTGGTGATATTCATGGGGTTCGAGTGGCCCGGGGGCAAGGACGGAGCCAGGATTTGTTGGTGCGGGGGGCCATTCACAATTTGAAAGAGAATAATTAAATACATTAATATTCATTTAACATAGTCCAAAATACATCATTATATTATAAAGTCTTGAGGATAAAATTTCTCCACCAACTTACAAACATCATCAATTCTAAATGATCAAGAGCCGTGAGCCGTCAGTCCACAAGGAATCACCATTAACCAAAGAGCAAACATTTCTTAAATATGGGTAGTTCACATATAAACATTGTCAGAACCCTTTAAACAAATTCAAATCAAAAGTGTGGATCAATAAGAAAAAAATTCATTAATTTTAGAAAAATGAATCTGGGAAACAAAAAAAAGAATAAGAAATATGAAGTCTGTTAGACAATATGTGATTGTGTATGTTCAAGAAGAAGAAATCATATTCTTGGCAAGGCCAGTTGCGAATCAAATGGCAAATTATGCTGTGGAACCGTGTCCACCTTGTAAGGTGGACATTGTTCCAAAACTATTCATAATTATGAATATATAGTTCAAAAGTTATGAACATATAGTTCTATAATTATGAACATAGAGTTGTGAACATAATTATGAACATATAATTCTGTAGTTATGAATATAAAGATTCAATAATTGTGAATATGAAGTTCAAAAATTATGAATATATAGTTTTATATTTATGAATACATAGTTCTGTAATTATGAACATAGAGTTCCGTAATTGTGAATATAAAGTTTAATAATTATGAATATGAAGTTCAAAAATTATGAATATATAACTTTATAATTATGAACATATAGTTCAGTAATTATGAATATAAAATTATGTCCACAACATAACTATTGGAATCAAATAAGATTTTGAAATCTTAGCCTGAAAGTTTTTGTTTGGAGAATAAAAATACTTTGGTGAGGGCGAAGGGGCTACAAACAATAATAATATACTACTAATAATTTTTTTTGGAGGGGGGAGGGGGGAGGGGGGCCAAGGGCCCAAAGCCCCAATTACCTTGTTCCTCTAAATCTTCTGCCAATACCAGTGTTAATAAAAGAATTTTTTTTTTTGGGGGGGGGGGGGGGGGCAAGGCCCCCTGTATTTAGCATGTCCGTCCGTCCCTGCCCGGGGGGCCCTGTCGATCACCCACCTCTTTTTTGCTGACGACAGTCTCCTATTTTTCAGGGCCACACAAACTGAAGCGTTAAAGGTTAAAGAATGTCTAGAGGCCTACAGCATGGCTTCAGGACAAATGATAAATTTTGAAAAGTCAAGTGCTATTTTCAGTTCTAATACACACCTGGATATCCGGAATCTTATTTCAAGAGTTGTTGGTGTGCGAATGGCTAATGACTTGGGCCGTTACCTTGGTTTGCCTTCGGTTCTTGGCCGTAACAAGGTTGAAATTTTCAAATACATTGAAGGGAAGATTCGTGAGCGTATAGGCATGTGGCAGCACAAGCTTCTTTCAAGGGCAGGTAAAGAGGTCTTAATCAAAAGCATAGCTCAATCTTTGCCGATTTTCACTATGTCTACGTATTTACTACCACTGCGGACATGTGACTCGATAGAAAAATGCCTGAACCGTTATTGGTGGGGTGGAAGTGGTTCGGAACGAAAAGGTATTCACTGGTTGAATTGGTCCCGTTTATGTGTGCCCAAAGTTCATGGCGGATTGGGTTTCAAAAAAATTCATGAATTCAACATCGCGCTGCTGGCAAAACAAGGTTGGCGCCTTCTTATCTATCCGGAGTCTTTAGTTGGCCGACTTCTGAAGGCTCGATACTTCCCCGCTTGTGGTTTTTTGGATGCACAAATGGGTAACAATCCCAGTTACCTATGGAGGAGCATCATCGCAGGCCAGGGGCTTTTAAAGCAGGGAGTAGCTCGCCGAATAGGTGATGGTGTGGATACCAAAATATGGGGGTGGGGGTGGTTGGCAGACACTGTTACTCCTCATCTACATACACCTTGCATTGATGAGCTTCGCGAGGCACGGGTAAGTGGCCTTCTTACGGCCGAGTGGAACTGGGATAGGGAGGTGATCAATGATATTTTTGAAGTAGCTGATGTTCACCGCATTTTGGTCACACCGGTAAGCTGCACATTCAGGGATTCATGGCGATGGATTGGTGACATGAGGGGACAGTATACGGTCAAGCATGGCTATCGGTTACTGACAGGAGATCATCATCATATAGGAGCGTCTGATTTCAGTGCATGGAAAAAGCTGTGGTCTTTGCCAATCCCACCGAAGGTTAAAAACTTGTTGTGGCGGTGCGCCAGGAATATTCTACCGGTACGGGAAGCGCTGAAATCTCGTCACGTTTGGTTAGGGGGGGGTTGCCCGTACTGTGGCTTCCCTTATGAAACACAGGAGCATTTGTTTGGCGGTTGCTGGTTTGCTTTGGAACTCTGGGGCCAGCCCGATTTTCTCCAAGGTCGCTCATGGCCTACTTGTATGGATGCAATGCTTAATATGGTGGACTCATCACACGACGTGTTATTGGCAGCCATTGTGGACGTAATTTGGTCAACGCGTAATGAGATTGTATGGCGTGGTACTAGGCCGTCCATCTTAACTATGCGGCATAGTGTTTATACCCGACAGCTGTCTTGGCAGGAGTCCTATGGCCGGGCTACACACGAAGGGTCGACGGCACCTGATGCGGTCTGGACTCCACCTCCAGGAGGAAGCATCAAGTGTAATATTGATGCGGCCACCTTTCCAAGTGGTGTTGGCGTTGGAGCGATACTACGAGATTACACAGGCAGATTTGTGGCGGCGAGGAGTACTCATATTGAAGGAATCCATGACCCGTTTATGGCCGAGACGATAGCGGTAAAGGAAGCCCTGACGTGGTTGAAAAGACTAAACTACTCAAGAATTATCATTGAGACGGATTGTTTAAATTTTTGTACGGCTTTTAATTCCACTAGTTCTGATTTTTCTTACGTAGGTTTACTTGTTAAGCAATGCCTTTTAATTGCTGATGACATTGGCGATGTGATTGTTAGCCATGTTAAGAGGTCAGCGAATCGAGTGGCTCACGAGTTAGCGCGGGCAACTGATTCTATGACTGCCTCAGGGGAGTGGACTGTTATCCCACCCACATGTATTTCCGGCTTTTTAAGTTACTAATGAAATCTGTTGCAGTTTTGTTCAAAAAAATACACTCATCATTTCAAATTCCTAATAACCTGCCCTTGATAAGGACCTACGGTGGATTATTTTAGGTTGAGAATAACGTTCAATAACACACTTAAATAATTTTTTATGAATTCTTTTATATTTTTTTATAGAATTTAAAACGCTATTAATGCGTTAATATGCCAACATTAAATTAGAAAAATACTATAGATCTCGATAAATTTTAATTTACACATTTTTTTATAACTCAGATTTTTGGTTTAATCAGATTAAATCTGAAACCCCATAAACTTACCCACGCCAATAAAAAGCTAAATTGTCCACAATTTACCTTCGAAACTTAATACCAAACTATGTACGGGGGAGGCTCATAAATTTTAATTTACACTATTTTTATACTCACTATGTAGGATTATTTGAAAAGTAAAAAATAAAATAAAAAAATAGACCTCTAGCATCCATTCCAAACAGTCACATCACGGAGTATTATACCGGAATAAAAATTTATATAAACCTCATAAGTTTATTAAGGAAAAATGTTGGAGATTTCTCTAATTATTATTATTATAATTATTATTTTTTGTTGAAAAATATTTCTCTAATTATTATAAGTTTTTTGTTACACGTGCTTTACTTATTGAATTAAAATGAATGAAAAAAAAATCATTTATAAATTTGTGTATCAATAATGTGAAACGGTGATGCTAGTTTTCTCTGTATCATTCTAATTTTAGAGTGTAACAAAATTCATGACATATTGATATAGAAGACGAAGAAAAAAAATTGACACGTTGAAAGGCACTATTTTAACTAGGTCATTGACTTATACGTTTACTTAGGAAACACCAAATTGACTTTGTTGTCATCACTCATTATGGCTATATCCTCTTGTCATTAATTCATCATTTGGAGTGTCTCTTGCCTTAAAAATATTATAATTCTTCCCAAACTAAAAATATTATAATTAAAAGGTAAAAAAAAAAAAAAAAAAAAAATAATAATAATAATAATAATAATAATAATAAAAGACGTACAGATGATAATAAGACTATATATATTGACGCTTTGAGGTAAACTACATTTTTTGTCCTTTAATTATATTCATGGTATAAACTTAATTCTTGAGTTATATGTATAACAATCTTTAATCTCTAAGTTACGCATGGAGTGGGGATTTTAGTCTTTGAAGGACCAAATCAGTTACTTTATTAAGTGATAAATTGGTAATAGAAATAATCCTCAAGAGACTAAAATTGTCACTTAGTGCATAATTTAGACGTTAAAAATGATAACTCATATAATTCATAAAAAATATGATAACTCATATAATTGTACCATCTGTATAATTGAAGTACCAAAAATGTTTTTTTTTTTTTTTTTTTTTTGATGTATGAAATTATTGAACTTCTCATATATGGAGTATATAAAAATTGAAGTTGAAATCCAAGAAAACAATATAACAGTACACATAAATTGGATGCTTTCTGAATTCTGACCTTACTCGCCGGAATTGGGCGGCCGGGATTGTTTGCAAGGATTCCGGCGACGATGGCCTGAATCCTGGAACTGCTGCTGCCGCTCCAGGCGAAATCGAAACACGGGCGTTTGATGAAGAGCTTGTGCTCGCAGGCGGGAATAGAAGGGTCGGTGGCGGCTTGAGGATCGGCGACGGCGGCGACGGCGGAGGGGTGCCTGGAACGGTAATCGGTGGCCTTTTGGATTCCGAACAAGAGAGCAATGAAGAAGAGGGAGGAGAAGAGGTGAAGGAAGGTAGTCCTCTTGTTTCTCAAGGATAGAAGGATGTTCTTCTTCAGCAGGGCTGTGGTTTGCTGTCTCAGAAGAGGAAACCCTCTCTGCAACTCCGTCGCCATCTCCGTCAGTCTCGCCAGCCAGTACTGAGTACTATGTTTCTGTGTGGTTGTCGAAGACTTTCGGTATTATATCTCCGACTCCGCGTGGTAAAACTAGGAATAATGCTATTTTATTTCTCCTCCAATCTTCTCAACTTGGCCACTTGGGCATTATCAGTTTTTTATTCATTGGGTAATGGGTAATCATGAATTGAAACTTTATCTTTTAAGTTAAAAACGATATTTAATTGGTATTTGACTTAGTAATCACAAAATTTCAATTTTGATTATTAATGTGAGTTTTAAGAATATGGACATAATTTAAAATTATTTTTTGAATTCACAAGTGATGTAAAACAATATATATATATATATATATATATATATATATATATATATATATGATTAATCCGCGTTTTTGAGCAGCTTATTGCTCCAAAGCGCTACTCAATGAAGTTTTGGAGAAAATAATATTTTTCCCCAAAAATCCCATTAATTAAAAAAAATATTTTTGCTGTGAAGGGTCTTGGGCAATTTCACTTTTAAGACTTGCACTTATTAGCACGCGTTACTTGCACACAAAGTTTGAGTTATTTACAAAAATGACAATATTTTTTTAAAATTGCATTCGATCCATTCATCTTTTAGAATGGACAATTCGAATTAGTTAATTCTTATTTCTCTTGAATTTGTGAAAAGTAGTCTTGTATAGCCAACCTCCAACCAAATATGTCAAGATTGATGCAGTAATTTCTAACCTTGTCTCAATGGCTAGGAGCTCGAATCCCTGGAAAGGAATTATAGTGACCAAGGATATCATCCAACTTGGCTCTAACTCTGGCTCCACAAATGGCTTATTGATGAAGGCTTGGCCTCAAAGGCTATCGGGGAGATCGCTGAGGAAGATATGAATGTGAATGTTAGAGATTATTGGTTTGTTGTGTATGGTTTGGATTTTTCTAGGCTAGAACACATTCTGCCCCTTGATATTATCAACAAGATTAAAGGGATCTTTCTCTAAATGATCAAAATCTTATGGACACCATGTCTTGGAACTGTAAAAATCTGATGGACACTATGTATTGGAATTGTAACGAGTTGAGAGAGGAATTTTCACTAATTGTTCTACTCATGGTCTTGCATTGCTAAAGACAGTAACAGATATAAGGATTCGTTCATCTTTTCAAATAAATGGCTCGTATTTTCTCTCATGCTCGTTTTCCTATTTCTCTCATGCATTCATGATTACCCATTAATGGTGCAATGACCACTGATGGTGTTGGGAAAAGCTCGAAGAAGACTCCCGCCGTGAGCGTTTCATAACGAGGTTAGGGTTTTCAATACTCTGCGTTCCGGCAGATTGTAGATTAATTACATGGTGAAACCAACAATGGTGGTTCTCTGGTGAGTTGGTCGTGTGGGTCAGCTGTTGTCGGGTTTGAGCTTATTTTGTAATTGGGGATGAGGGTTTTGTGGACGAGGAAGGGATTGTTGCATGGTGAAACCAACAAACGGTGGTTCTTCGGTGGGTTGGGTGTTTAGGCCAGTTGTTGTCGAGTTTGTGCTAATTTTGAAATCAGGGATGAGGGTTTTGTTAATGGGGATGGGGTTGTTGTACGGTGAAACCAACAATGGTGGTTCTCTAGTGGGTTGGGCGTTTGGGTCAGCTAGTGCAGAGTTTGAGACAGTTTTGAAATTGGGGATGGTGGTTTTATGGTCGGGGAGGGGGTTGTTGCATGGTGAGCCCAACAATGGTGGGTTGAGTGTTTGGGTCGGTTGTTGTCGAGTTTGTGCTAATTTTGAAATTGGGGATGAGGGTTTTGTGGACAGGGATGGGGTTGTTGCACAGTGAGACCAACAATGGTGGTTTTCCAGTGGGTTGGGCATTTAGGTTAGCTGTTGCCGAGTTTGAGGTAATTGTGAAATTAGGGATGATGGTTTTGTGGTCGGGGAGGGGGTACGTAGTTGCACGGTGAGACCAACAACAGCGGTTCTCCGGTGGGTTGCGCGTGTGGTGTAGTTAACCAATAAGAAGAGAAGGTTGCGTTGGGAAACAATGGTAGAAACACCGGCACATCTGTGATGGTTGTCGGGGGTGGGTGCAGTACAGGGAGCATATGTTATTTTGTTAGTTTAGTTACAGGATGTAAAAGGCGGTGTGCTGTTGGAGGTTCCAGTAGACGAGTTTTCTTGTGGTGCTGATAATCAATTTGTTTCGTTCGTATGGTTTTCCAGGAGCATAGACACTGGGTACTTGAACAGCCTAGTGTTAACATGTCATGCAACCACTCGTTCCAGTCATGGTAGTTAGTTTTCCTACTCTTCAAATGCGTGGTACTGCGAAGCAAATACTCAGGGCGGTGAATAACATAAATGCACTCCACTCTACTTCTTTCTCCATGAGGAATTCACTATATCAATCACCCAGATACAAGATATAGTGAATTGTGATCTAGTGCCTTGATCACAAAGCCAAAACTAATCACCAACTCCATGGATTAAGTGCCTTTATCACAAAGCCATCACTGATCACCAACTCCACGGATTAAGTGCCTTGATCACAAAGCCAGCACCAATCTTACAACTCTAGTGCCTTGATCGCCAATCTTTCGAACTTGAGACCCTGAAGTTAAATATCAGCCTTCTAACCATTCCATCCGTGCAAATTATTGGTTACTATTCCAATCTTCTTGATGTACTCCATTTCTTCCATAACTTCCTTGATCTCCAAGATATCTTCATGTAGTCTTCAAATGACATCTTCTTCTTCGAATTTCTTCAAATTCATTTAAAATACTTCCTCATCGAAATTGACGTGAGATTGAGGCTTGAGAATATTCATATCATATGCATACATCCTCCTCTTTTTCATATGTATACATCTTCCTCTATTTTCATATGCATACATCTTCCTCTATTTTTATATGCATACATCTTCTATTTTCCCTAATTATTTGTTAAATTTCCCTTCACGGTCTATGACACAACCAAATACTTGGACAAATAAAATTGGGGAATCTACAATACAATTTGGCATATCAAAATCTATTACAATTTATTCCTAACAACTTTGATCACAAAGCTCATACTAATCTTGTGATTTCGCAATCTCCTTGCTAATTTCTTCTATCTACACCCAGTAGAGATTTTATACAAGAAAAAAAGAAATTTTTTCTTTGCTCTCCAACTCTCAGAGACTTAAAAGTTTTGTTTCTTTTTCTATATATTTCTTTGAAGAATATTGGCTCAAGTGTCAAATCGCACCCTGAACCAATTGCGATATGTCATCCTGCACCCTGATCTTTCATAAGTGATGATACGATGCACAAACCAAAAAAAATTATCCGCCTAGCCTTTTTTACAGGTAGCCTTCAAGTTATAGGTAATGACTTGATGATGTGGAGGTGATTTGGCAGAGACATGTTTTGTTTTCTAGATGTGGCAGCCATTTCAGCAGTTTTGAATAACCATATGACTTTCCAGCCATTCATTCGACGACTGAAGAGGAAGGCCGGAGGAGAGGTCTAGCCGCGCCACTTCCGAGTTCTGCTACCGCCGACGCTAGTCAGCCGCCACCGCCGGAAGTTGCCAGCTTGCTCTGCTTCCAGCTGCCGCCGTCGATGAGGAGAGAAACCATGAAGTCGAGCATCCCGCCACCGCCTCCAATCTCAATCGTAAACAAACAGATACATGCTCGGTCCATCTCAATCGCAAACAAACAAGCTACTTTGCTTAAACCCCATTCGGATTCAGATTCTCATGTTTCAACGAAACGCCCCTAAGTAATCGTTGCAAGAAAGCAGTAGTAGTAGCCATGGCAAGCACGAAAGTTCAGAGGATTATGACCCAGCCCATTAATCTGATATTCAGGTTTCTTCAGATTAACGCTCGAATTCAGATTTGGCTTTTTGAGCAGAAGGATCTGAGGATTGAAGGCCGCATTATTGGGTTTGATGAGTACATGAATTTGGTTTTGGATGATGCTGAGGAAGTCAATGTAAAGAAGAATAGCAGAAAGCAATTGGGTCGCAGAATTGTTTACAAAAAATCAACCAAGTTGGAGCCCAAGAATTGTTTACAAAAAAAAAAAAAGAGAGAAAGCAGTAGAATTTCCCAGTAATCACAAAAATTAAAACATAATATCCAAGAAAAATACAAGGAATTCATAACCAAGCAATACGAAAGATCTACTTTTCATGCTCTTCTGTTCTCTTGCATTTTTCCCAATTTGGGAGAAGAATGAAAGGGATATTGATTTCTTGTTGGCAAAAATTGAGAAATCATTGGCAAATCAGAGAGTAGAAACCACCATTTAAAGAAATCACATCTCTCCGTTACCCTCATTATTCCTTTCTAGATTGAACAAGGATCGGGATACAAGATATAAAGCAAATAAATCAACTTCAAGTTCCATACTTCCAGTAACCCTATCCAGCCATACTACCTTATTGGCGTCATCGAAGGGGACAGAGCGAGAGAGGAGCAAAAATATGTCTTTCTTGCACAGCCTTTGGTATTTATCTTCAGGCAAAAGGTCGAGCAACTGTTGGTAATTAGCGGGCAGCTTGGCTTCCCAGACGGCGTCAGATGAGGTGGTGCCACGGAAGGCGCGGTTGAGCCGAGCCAAGTTGTAGATCTCCGGTGGCGTCTACTCAATTAACGGTGTTAATGTGTTATGAAGGCGACGCCGTGAGTGGTGGTGCGTCAGTTATTAATATTTCAATTTAGGGAGAATTAATAAAAATAAGCTCCACATAGATAATTACCGGCGCCATGTCAGCAAGGAAACTAGAAAACCTATAAAAAGGACTAGATGGACAAAAAATTTTGGTTTGTGCATCGTATCATCACTTATGAAAGATCAGGATGCGGGATGACATATCGCAATTGGTTCAGGATGCGATTTGACACTTGAGCCAAGAATATTAGAACTTGAAGATTTCTTGTTTTGTTTGTTCTTGTATTGCTTCGTGTATTTCGTGATCTTCTTTGTGACCTTCAAGTCATCTTGCCTTTTTTATTTTTATTTTATAGATAATCAAATATATTTGTTGGAGTGGGATAATTTGATTTTGAATTCTTGATAGTTGTAGCCTGATCTAATAAGTTTGGCAAATTGATCTTCACTTTAATTTCAACCATGTTGTAGCAG